ATGAATCAACACGTCTTCCTCTTCCATTAGATCGACTTCTAATTTTTCCGAGAACCACGCCGCCGCAGTAATAATAGAGATCTCCGGGATATATCGCAAAGTCGTATCGCTAAGCGGGCGAAAAAAAGCCTATCTGCGAGCGGATAAGAGAGCGAGTCTGTAAGAGAGAGAGAGAGAGAGAGCGAGAGAGCGAGCGCGCACTTCGCACGGCGTGTCGACGAGGTAAATATAGTTTTACTTGGCACGCGCGCGCGAGCGCGAGTCTAACGACCACCAAACGCAGAGAAAGTTCTTCTAAGCGTTCCGTGACCTTTCGTATCATTCTAGCGGCACGGAAAAAACAGCGGTCAAACGAGGGTGCAACGCGGACTTTCGCCGTTTCACTCGCACCGGCGCGCCGCTCGTTGTTTCGGAGCGCCGCGCGCAGATCCAACTTGGCGCGCGCGCGCGTATGTGTGTGTGTGTGTGTGTGTGCGCGTACGTTAACACGCAGGTCGCGCGCGTGAAGAAGACGCGCGCTCCCCCCGTCGCGACTCTCTTAATCTAATCGACCGCGCCGATTTTTTTCTTCCGCCGAAGGACGTCGGGCCGATACATCCTGTCGCCGCGCTACGCAATGCCTCGCCGGCGACGACGACGACGACGACGACGACGACGACGACGACGACGACGACGACGACGACGACGACGACGACGACGACGACGATGACGACGACGAGGAGGAGGAGTGCGATTACCGGGGGAGTCCGCTCGCTTCGTCGTCGAGAAAAAACCGGATTGAAGGATCGACCGGTCGGATTGATTAAAGGTCGACGATATCCGATACTTGTTACGATCAACATTTCGGCGATCGTCGTGTGGATGAATCATCATCGACAAATGTCCAGGCGAGGAGAATCGTTCCACCGAGCGGCGAAAACGTCGTCGGACTGCTGAGGAAAGCGACTCTGCTTTGCTTTACTTTCTTTCCATATGTGTTTTTTTAGCAATAACTCGTTTCTATTTATTACCCTTTTCAAGGATATTGTAAAACGTGCACTCTACATGGGGAGCAGACCGACGAAGTTTGTTTACGAACTTAATATTCCTCATTGAAATGCCAAACTTACATTAAAGGGGTGTGTACTTGGTGCTTACGACGAGAATGCTTGCGAAATAAATTGCGGGTATAAATGGATAAAATCAAATCTTCGAGCAAGATTTATTCAATGCAAATGCTTTCACAGAGTGAAGGTGCAAAGCCAGCGATTCGAAGATTTACGAATACGAGAAATTAAGAGCAAAATAAATTAAAAATTAACTATTAAAAATAAATTTTAAAGATTAAAAATTAATTATTATTATACCATTAGAAATTAATTTATTATTAAAAAATTATTTAGTATCAAAAATTAATTTTAAAGATATATATATATATATAACATCACGAGCTCTCCAACTTGGGCTAAGAATTTTACATTTTGTACAAATAAATTTTCATTCGAGACCATCCGGCATCTACGCTCCCCCTGCCCCCTGCCCCCCGGGTTACAGGAGAAAAACAAAAAAGTTTATAAGCGGACACCTTTTCGATAGAACACGAGCGGTGTCCGTCGGTTCATTGACATTCGCACTTTCACTCTGCAAAAGCATTTGCAATCTTACACAACCAGACGGAAAAGCGACGCAAAGCACAACGTAGTCGACAACGTAATCGTGTCGGTGCCGCCACATCCCCTTTGCGGGCACCCTTCGGCCAGCAATTCCGGGACACCCTGTATACCAGGATACGGCGAAGCGAAAGGCGAGTGTGCCGCGCCGCGCGACGTAGGTGGAGCCGTCAAGGTAGAGCGCTCGATCTCGGCCCATCCGAGACGGGAGGACGACGGTCGCGTCGTCGTCGTCGTCGTCGTGGCCGCGCTGGTACCGATACCATTGTCGCGATCGCTCCGCCGCGCACGTTTGTATACCGCTACAGGCTAACGCCCCGCGTCCGTTCGTTCGCGTTTCATTTTCTCCGTCGAGAAGCAGGCAGGCGAGCGAGCGAGCGAGCGAGCGATTTTCTCGCCCGCCCTCCGCGCCTCGTCTCGTCCTCCTCCCGGCGGTCCTCTCCTCCCCTGCCCCCTGCCGCTCCTGCTTCTTTCTCTTCTTCTTCTTCTTCTCCTTCTTTCTCTTCTCCTTCTTTTTCCTCCTCCTCCTCCTCCTCCTTTTCTTCTTCCGTGGCTCCTTCAATCGCCGCCGAACTCTGGCGAGCTCTCGGCCGGACCCTAACGCGCTCACGATCTTCTCGGACTCTCTCGGTCACTTACTCTCCTACCTTGAGAAACGCCCGCTCGGCGCGATTCAGCGGCGATTTCGCGTCCACTGCGAGAGAAAGGAGAGGAGGGCCCGAGAGCGCGCTCTCGGGCCGAACGAGACGCGTCGCGATGAGACGAGATCGGGATCGGGAACCTGCGGGAGAGAGGGAGAGAGGGAGAGAGAGAGAGAGAGAGAGAAAGAGAGAGAACGAGAGGGAAACGAGCGGGACTCGAGAGAGCGTGAGGAGGGAGCAGCGGTGCTCCCGGCGCGGCGGCCTCCGCAAGGTGAGGCCGTCTCGGCGGAGACACTCGACTTCGACTCTCGAGAGAGGGAAAAAAAGGAAAAGAAAATATTCCCCAGCGGCGATCGCGTTCGTGCCTCGACGCTGAGGCTGATAAAAGCCCTGCGAGGGGAGGGGAAGAGGAATGAAGGAACGGCCGCGCGCGGCAACTTAGACCACAGGTCGAGGCGAATCGTCGTGCGCGGTTGCGCTCTAAATTCTCGAGGAGCGAACGCGCGCGCGGAACGTCCCGGTGCGCGAATTCGACCTGACAGGTTTTCCTCCGCCGCGCCGCGCTCCGCGCGCTCTCTCGACGATCGCTCTCGATCCCTCGGCGGAAAAGGAATGCCTGACATCGGTCGTCGCAGGCCTTATCGTGTCGCACGCGGCGAGACCACGATAATTCGCTCGCTCGCTCGCTCGCTCGCTCTCTCTCTCTCTCTCTCTCTCTCTCGCAGTCCCGCAGTCTCCGCGAGACGCGCGCGGGTTGTCGCTCGCGCATGCGGCGCGTTTGAATTCCGCTCGTCCGACTGTGGAAAATTGCAAGCTCGCGCGCGCGCGCTCGCTGTTGTAACTTGTCCGTCTCCGTAGAGCTTTGACCCTCGACAGGCGGGTGTCATCGGTGAATCTTCGAGCTGCAGGCGAGTCTCGCTCGGAGATAACTCGTAGCGAATTCGTAGCCAATTCGAGCGATTATACAATCGTTGCGGTTTCCGAACGCAGCCGCAGATTGCGTTCGACAAACACGCCGCTTGTGCAACCGTCGAGGCGAAACGTATCCCCGTATTGGCCCGCACCGTTAGAATCCGCCGAAAGTCGACGCGCTCAGCGAGCCGCTGAGTGCTGAGTGATGAACGATCGCGCAAGTAACATGCGCGATCGTTTGTCCACAAAATATGTCTCCTCTGTACAAAAGACCCGAGCTGAAACTCTGACGAGAAAGCGGCGAGAAAACCCTCTTTCTCGAGGATTCTTGCACACTGATATGAGACAAGTTAGAGCAAGGCGAGAACACACTTTGTTCCGCTCCAGCTTGTCGCCTGGCGCCGACTCGAAAAGCTCTTCGAGAGAGAGGACAGGCCATCACTAGCGACGAGATCCACCGCGCAAGTCCCGGTCGTGGGAGCCGCGAGTTGAGCGACACTGCTCCATAGAGTATCGTGCAGTGTGCCTGTAGTAGGGATACACGAAGGAAGAGCGCGCGCGCAGAGGGGGGCGACACGTGGAAGGGGGGCTCAAGGCCGGTCGCGCTGTCATGCCAGAAAGCTTGCGTGCCGAAATATCAACAAGCCTTTTCTCTACGTGGGCTACTCGCTAGCGCGCGCTAGCCGATCGGCTGCTCGCACACGCGCCTTTCTCGAAGGGAAATCATGCGTTAGCCTAAGTCCCGGCGAGGAGCTGCGAACGCGCGAACGGACTCTCGCGCCGCGGTTTAATGCCCGAGACTCGCGTACGGGTAATAGAGAAAGGAACGGGAGGCCGGGAGAGAAACGGAGAGAGAGAGAGAGAGAGAGAAGGAAGGACGAGCGGCGCGGACAGAGACGGAGGGAGGGAGGGAGAGCGCGCGCGCGCGAGAGAAAGAAAGAGAGAGAGAGAGAGGTGCATGCACGCACGCACGCGCACGCATTTGAGTTTTGGACAGGTGGCACGGCCATGGCGGCTGACAGCTGACAGTTCGCGAGACCCGGAATCGAGAGATCGCGAAGGCGACTGTCGCGAAAACCCTGCGGCGGGACTCACGAGAGAGAGAGAGAGAGAGAGAAAGAGAGAGAGAGAGAGAGACACGAGACGCGCGCGTGGTGCTCGTGGAAGCGAGCAGGAGGCACGTCTCCGCCGGAGCTGCCGACTCCGCGCGTATGCTCTCGTACGCGACGGTAAGTGCGGAGGGAGCCGCAGGCAGAAAGGGGGAGAGAGAGAGAGAGAGAACGTGTAACCGAAAGTCCGAGCGGTCGGTAGAAAATCGCTGCCAGGTGCGCGATTCGATCGCTCTCGCGCGGATACATACGGAACACCTCGGCCGGGAATCTCGAAACTCCGCGTTCGCGTCGCGTTTTCCTTCGACGTTCACGACGATAAAGAACGCGCGAGAGACAGAGGGGAGGGGGGGCTCGGCGAGAGGGAACGAGAGGTACGCGAGAGAGGAGAGAACGAGGCGAGGAGGGAAGACAAACGAGAAGGACGCCGAGAGAAAGACAGAGAGGCAGGGGAGGGGGAGGGGGCAAGTGGCGGCGAAACAGGAGAGGGTGACGACGGGGAGGGGGTAGAGAGAGAGAGAGAGAGAGGGAGGAGTAAGGAGGAGGTGCAAGGGGGGAGTCGCGGGGTCATCGGGAAACATAACCTCCGTACGTCCGTGCTCTCGTACTCGCACGGCCGACGGGCTTTAATGTATGTGATAGCCTCGCTGCTTTCGGGTCGCGGGAAGCCGTGGGTGCTGCTCTCTTACCTCGTCCGCAGCGCGCCGCGGCGCTCCTTCTCTCCGCTCCTCTCCTCTCCTCTCCTCTCCGTGTCCGCCCGGGCTCCCGTCGTCCCACGGCGTGAGCGCAATCGTATATAATATCGTATCGTATCGCGTCGCGTGTCGCGTCGCGTCGCGTCGTACGAGCCAGCCCGAGAGAATCGCGAGCGGTATAAGGCACTCCTGACAGTCTTTTCCACGACCCGACTCCTCGCTCCGTAGCGGCGAGGCGCCTATCGCGCGAGCACAGCGAAGGACGATCCGCGAGCGAGAACGTATCACGTCGCACTGGTCGCACTGTACCGATCACACTCGTGTGCACGGAAGAGAGAGAGAGAGAGAGAGAGAGAGCGCAAGAGAGAGAGAGAGAGAGAGAGACACGAATGAGCGAGTGAGCGAGCGGGCGGGCGGGCGAGAGAAGGAGAAAGACAGAGAGGGAGAGAGAAAAGGAGGAAAAGAGCGAGGAGGACAGAAGGAGGGGCGGGAGGGAGGGAGGGAGAGAGCGACAGAGACGGCGGCGGCGGCGGAGCACCTCGCGCGCGTTGCTGTGCTCCCGGTGGACGCGCGGTGTCGCGGTGCTGCCGCGCTCTCGACGGAGAGGTAACGGGCGAGCGACGAAGCCGCCGACGGACGAAGCCGCGTGCACACGCACCTTCTCGCGTCACGTTACAACAGACGAGCAGCAGTCGCAGCGAGCCACAGACACGGGCCACCTCCGACTCTCCGTCTCCGCTGGCTCTCCGACTGGTGGCACCTCTCCACACACCACGAGTTCGCGCTCGACTGTCTCTCTCTCTTCTCTCCCTCGGCCTCCTTCCCTCTGCCGCTGGCCCGTTCCCTCCCTCCCTCCCTCTCTCTCCCTCCCTCCCTCTCATTCTCTCTCTCTCTTTCCCGTGGCTCTCCATGAGCCTTCCATGAGTGTGCCGTCGTACCTGCGTCTCTGTCTTTCTCTTTCCCCCCCCTCTTACCGTCCCTCGCGCGGTGACCGTACGCCGCGGAGCCGATAGTACAGTACACCGTCGCACGATGCCGACACCGCCGTAGGTCGCCTTTGACACGACGCAGCGCGACGCGACGCGACGCGACGTACGTACGACCCACACACGCATACGCGCGCACGCACGCGGCGCGTTGCGTCGCGTCGCCTCCGCCGCTCTCGCCGGCCGACGCGACATGGCGACCGGCTGGCCGGTCGGTCGCGCGGCGTCGTTGAGTCGTTCCGTTGACGCGCGCGTCGGCGGGCGAAAATGCTCGAAATTCCGCGTGCGAGCGCGGAGTCGCGCCGCTCGTCGCCTGCGCCGTTTGCGCTCGCGCGGCGAAAGCGCGCGTGAGCAGCGCCGTCCGTCGTCGCAGCAGCAACTTGGCGAAGCAGTCGCGATGTGACACGAGGGATACTTCAGCAGCGCTGAAGGAATTCTCGCGCGTTGGGCGAAAGTCGTCGCGACGTGCGGACGAGTTTCGGGAGCGGATTCAGGCTCGCGCGTGACGTCTTCACCGAGGACGCTCACTTCCGCGGGATCACTCGGCGCGAGACCGACGTGCGGGCTGCATTTGTTCGTCAAACGCGCGCGAACTTGAAGAACGCTTCCGTACCGACGAACTTCCCGCACGTGACGTTTCCGTCAAGAATAGTCAAGAAGCAGTTCCGCGCTTCCGAATTCCCGCCTCCGAGGGAATTTATCCAATTTTTCTAATCATTTCCTGTTAAAGTTTGTACCTGTCTGTACAACTGAAGAGCGTACCCTGCGCGCGACGTTTCCATCCGGAACGGCCGCTTCCGCGGATTTCTCGCTCTTTTTCTCGCGTTCGCGTCGCGAATTTCTCATCCGCGCGTCTCGGACGTGGCGTCTCTTCGAGGACGAAGGAATCTCCCTCGCGTCTCTCCGCTCGATTCCTCCGAGCCTGAGGTCTCTCCCCGCCCGCAGTTGCGTCTGCGGTTTTTCCGGTTTTAAAGGCGCACCGGCGAATCCGCAGTTTGACTTAATTGTACTCGGCGATGTGCAGCCACAGTGGGACGCAGTTGCATCCGCCGCTCTCGGCGCGGCGGGCTCTCTCGCAAAACGCATGTCGGACAAACGAAAATCGTCACGGTTCAATGCTCCAGTCTGACCGCGGCTGCCGAAGCGGCGACCTGCTCTCCCCTCGCTCTCGCTCGATTCCCGCCGATCGGCGCGGCGCGGCGCGTTGAATTTGTCGATCGAGATACGAGAGAGAGAGAGAGAGAGAGAGAGAGAGAGAGAGAGAGAGCTTTATCCAGCGCGCGCGATAGCGCGAACGGTAAAAGCGAGGCGTGCATTCGAGAGAGGATCCCTTTTTTACACAATTTCACCTCTCCGGCCGTTTTTTGTGGATTTTCCTTATCGCGCGCGCACGTCGATAACGCGCTAAAGTAAAAGGAAGCTCACAATGCAGAATACTCGATGGAGGCGAGCTGATACATTTTCCGAGTAATCAGTCGCATTATCGTTATCGAGTCCAGGCTCGCAATACAACCAGCTATTCCAGGAAAGTTATTTTCAGAGAAGGAAAAAAAGGAGAGGGAGAGAGAGAGAGAGAGAGAGAGAGAGAGAGAGAGAGACAGGTGTGATGATTCAGTCAACTGATATATACTATATTACACAGTAGCAACATACATCTGTAAAATATACACGAAAGAATCGAGTGTGTGGAATCTGCTGAATGTGACGAGAGACATCATCTTCGAATTACAGATCGCGGCGCACAGTTGACGGCGGAGGGGGGAGAAGGAGCGCGAGGAACGTCGAGGAGAGGAGCGCTGCCTCGTCTGTCGCGCTGGAAACGCAACGGTAACATGGATTTTTTATTCGTTACTTTGTACATATATATATATATATAAATATATATATGTATATCGTATGTACATGACACTCGAACAGGTCGGAGCGCTCCGACACGCTCCCTCCCCCGTCCTGCTCGCCCTCCCCCCTCGCTGCGGCAACATTCTTATTGAATAAAAATATATAAGTCCGGATGCGGCGGCAGAGCCGGACGATCCTGATCCTCGGGATTCGATCGGCAAATACGATCGCCTCCGACAACATTCTCCGCGTGCCTCCGCCACGTTCGAAGAAACGCGTGATTCATCGAGCGAACGCGCGTCTCGAAAATGCCCTTCTCGTGTGTGTGTGTGTGTGTGTGTGTGTGTGTTAAGGTACACGCATTAAGTTCGATTCGCGATGCCGAATCGTGCGCGTCGGAAAGGTTCCCCGGCGTCGACCGTCACGGCCGTTCGCCCGGCTCCTGCGCGCTCTCGAGGCCGCTCTCGAGGCAACGAGGGACCGCGTGCGGACGATATTACGCATATGGTGTCACTTCGAAAAATCCACAAGCGAAGATTCTTTCAAGTACCGTCCCGTCGTTGAGCCCTCGAGTCGGGTCGCGACACCTCGCGAAACGCTTCCGCCGGCTCGCCGTGCCGCGTCGCGTCGCGTCGGAGAAGTATGAATAAAAATTCGGAGCCCCGCGATCCGCGGCTCCCTTCCTTGTCTGGAGAATTTCACACAAGCGTACGTAAACACAGAGCAGCGAGAAACCGTGACTTTCAATCAAGCGTACTTCTCAGCAATTTTCATCAACGAACCCCATCCCAATTCCCGTGCGTTCTTTCCCTACAAACCTCTCTGGAAGTCAGGATTCGCTGGCGGAAACAACAAGTACGAGTGTAAACAAATTCGACGAGCGAAACAATAACAACGAGACTCCTCTCCGAGAGACCTTCTCGCCTGGAGAATGTCGCGGAGAAGAGAGAGACAGAGACAGAGAGAGAGAGAGAGAGAGAGAGAGAGAGAGAGAGAGAGAGAGAGAGAGAGAGAGAGAGAGAGAGAGAGAGAGAGAGAGAAAGAGAGAGAGAGAGAGAGGGAGAGAGAGAGGAGGCGATGGAGGTGTCGAGGCGCGGCGCGCAGCCGGAATCTATCCGGACGATAATATCCGCGTGCGATCGCACACACTTTTACAGCGCGCAACAGTGACACACAGAGAGATAGAGATAGAGATAGGGACAGAGAGAGAGAGAGAGAGAGAGAGAGAGAGAGAGAGAGCGAGAGAGAAAGACAGAATTTCTCGTGTGCCTCGGAAGCGAGCGATCAGGTACGGCGGTCGGTTTTACTCGCGATCGATCTCTCGCGGCGGTCGAACGTCGCTCTTTCGGCGCGCAGGAATTGTTTCACTGTCGCCGGCCAGTCGGTAAATGATCGGCTCGTTCGCCTGGTGGAGGAGCGAGAGACGTCTTTCGCGCAGAGTCTATTTCCTGCACGGCGACGGCAAGCTCGTGGTCGGTGTGGGCGTCGGGCTGCTGCTGCAGGATCTGCTCAGTATACGCTGCGGCTCGACGTTCAGAAAGGTCCTGTCGGTGGTGGGCGGCGCGGAGACGATTTCCGGCTCCACGGGACTCGGACACCTTTGGCTGCAGTTCGACGCTGGGCTCCTCGACAGCGTCTGCAGCGGTATCCGGTAGATCCTTATCGGCTTCCAGTCGCTGGGGCCGCCTGTGAAAGGGAGATTCGTTTCGTTTGCAGAGGGTGCTCTCGAGGCGCTTGTTAGCACTAGGGATATATCGACTATCAACAATGCTATTTTTATCACAGCGGTCGAAGAGAGAGAGAGAGAGAGAGAGAGAGAGAGAGAGAGAGAGAGAGAGAGAGAGAGAGAGAGAGAGAGAGAGAGAGAGAGAGAGAGAGAGAGAGAGAGAGAGAGAGATAGAGAGGATTTTTCGAAAAATAGCGCAGAGGGAAGGAATTAAAAAAATACTATCGTACTTGCGTAAGCAAAAATTTCGAAATATTTCGAAACACCTGAATAGTGCAAGGGATTCTTTTTCTTGTTCAGCGACCTTGTTCTATTTTTCCTAAAACGAGACGGATTTTTCGAAAAATGATGCAAAAGAAAAAAATTATGTGTGTTATCGTACGCGTGTAAACAAAAATTTGGGAATATTACGAAACACTTTAATGGTGCGAGGGATTACTTCTTTTCTTTGTTCAGCGATTTATTTTTCATAAAGCGAGACGGATTTTTCGAAAAATGATGCAAGGCAAAAAATGGAGAAATATTATTGTACTTGTGTAAACAAAAACTTCGAAATATTTCGAAACATCTAAATAGTGTAAGGGATTATTTTTTTCTTCGCTTTTTTTTTTAATGTCAATTAACTCGTCGACTAACGAAATGGATTTCGCAAAAGTGCTTAAGCCGACGGAGAATGGAAACTCAAAAATCAAGCAATATCGTTAAAATGTTGTGCCTAGGCATCTTCGGAATCACCATTTAGAAGTACGAAATCAAAATTTCTCAAAGAGCGATTTTAAAAAGCTTTAAATCAATTTTAGAAACATTGAACTGATGGAAACATCCAAACGTAGTATCGCGTTTCCGCCGGTCAAAGAGTTAAAAACATGAAACATGTCGTCGTAAATTTCTGCAATTTCCCGGAGAAGCTGCCAAGCTGGTCACTCGCCGGACCGCTTTGGTGGTTGCGGTTAAACAATTCGAAATAATGTAGGGAAGAAGGAATGGGATTCGCGGGAGAAGGTCCACGTACCTTGAACGGACGACCGCGAGGACGACGAGGACTGCGTGGAAGGCGGCGGGCTGCAGGGCATTTCATCTTTCTCGAAGGGTTTCGAGTCCAAGCGAATCCGTTCGCACTTCCCCGGCATGAACTCTGGCGCCGTGGTCGCGAAGAAGATGTCGCGCTTCGAGGTGATGAGGTTGAGGCTTGGCATGGCGATCGTGTGCACCAAGTTGCCGTTTATTATCAGACGGATCTCCATCGTGTCGTCGGTGAAGGCGATCACGTATGGGAAGGCACAGGCTGCGGTCAACAGACGCGCGAGTGTGAGTGTGTGTGTGTGTGTGTGTGTGTAATAAATTAATTATAAATCTCTAACGTCGACGTACCTACGACTGTCGGCACCGAATTCCAATTGAAGTCGAACTCGGTCGGCGCAGCGTTCTCTTCCGCCAGTTTTTGAAAGTGACACGTGTCTGAGGAGAAGGAGCGGATTAATCCTTAACGTCCGAAACGTCGAGGATCGAGTATCGTTATAGAAAAATCGCGACTCACTGTTGTAACAAAGTAACAGTTCCGGCTCCTCGTCCTCGCGGAGGTCCAACGCCGCCACCAGGTGCGGCTTAGCCGTCGAGTCCATGTGGACGATCTTCGAGGCTCCGCTGGCGGAGATGAGCTCGAAGTGATGGCGGGCGCCGCAGCACAGGGTCCACTCGTTCGACGGGTCGGCGCTCTCGATCATCGTCACCAACGACGGTGTTTCGCTCGCCGTGAATTCCTTGAGCAGCAGGAAACCGTCGACGGTGTCGGTATCGGCCGCCGAGCACCAGATGGTCCAGGCTGCGTTGTGCTTCCACTGCAGGACCGTCAGTCGACGGCCGACGACCACGCACTGTTTCGCAGCATCAGCCCGAGGAAGGAAAATTAGCAGGGCTCTGGTTAAGGGCCTGATTATTTTTCCCTAACATTAATCGGGCCTTAGTTGGGATAGAAAGACAAGGGCCCTGCAAATGATTTAACGGGTCCTTAAATAAGGCAATATTGTGAGGGCCTTACAAGGAAATATTTTTATTATTGCTTGAGTAAAAATATTCGTTCTTTTCATACCGAGAAATTTAAACTGTAATTTCTTTACCTTTTTATAATCTTGTTAGTATACAACAAGAATTTTTTATTTTAAAAATATGGCATACTTTACAATCAAATACAGCATTCTTTACGCGCAAAAATCCTGCTACTGTTTTCATTAATATTTGCTGCATCTCAAAACGAAGGCAATACTAGAAAAATCCTTGAGAGAAACTAATAAATATGGCAACTAATGAAACTAATAAAATTTGTTTTCAATTGCGGTATAATTAAAAAATCTTTAAAAGATAGAGCGTATCTACTAAAACAATACTAAACTATGGCAATTTTATTACACGCTCCAGACTTTATTAATTTTCCATAACAAAACTTGATTTGTATATTCAAAGCAACCTTAAGAGATCCTTCCAAGGCCCACATTTCCCCAGTTTTCCATGTTAAAGCGTTATTTCGTAAAATCTAAGGCATTCCTAAAAAATTTCTCCAAGGCCTTTATCAGTCTCCCCTATCAAAATCTTATTTATTGAATTCAGAGACATTCTTAAAAAAATCCTTCTAAGGCCCTCAGTTTTCCTTATCAAAGCCTTATTTCGTAAAATCTAATTTCATTTCGGGACCTGATGTGGTGGTAATAACGAGGCAACCCTTTTCAGGGCATCCCACTTTCAGCCTTATCAAGGCCTTATACTTCATGAAGACGGCCCTAACAATTTGTTGCTTGGGACGATTATGCGTATTTCGCGCGTCGGTAATCATCGGTGAGGAAAAACGTGAGGAACGCCTCCATTTTAATCCTTAAAGGCTACCCTGAGTGAAATTGCACTCGTGCGAATTTTTCATTTTATTAAAAAACGTTACCACTGACAATACTAATTTTATATTCATTACAGTATGACAACATTATGATAAAACAAATCAATTCTCGCATATACTTTGCTATAAGTATTAACAGTTTGCTCGGGGTGACATTTGAGGGTAGCTCTCGAGGATCAAATGATCGATATTTCCGAGCTCAGGAAACATCAACACAAGGAAACTGACATATTCTTGACGTAATAAAATGTTACTTCAATTAAAGTATCACTCACCGTTAATAATACCAAATGCTATTGTTTGAGATCAAATGATATATCACTTAATTTTATTTTACTTTTTACTTCATCTCTGGCATTTTTCTAATACTATATTATATATCACGTTAATATTTTTTATACATGTCGATGGAATCCAGACAGATTACGAGCTGCTTGTCTGCGCAAATTGCAACTTCTACCGCGTACTTTTTCACTTAATACGGTAATAGCACGCGTTATCTGCGACAGTCGCGGACAAAAGCGAAGGGCTTTTCCGCCCTCTGACACGGTGAAAGCCGTGTCAATCGACGCGTCCTCGACTCGAAGTACGCGATCTCTCTCGAAGATTAACTCGAAGAAGATCGCGGACTAGAGATTAGGTCTTGATAAATCAGCTAGTTCCGATCCCGACTGGACTCGCCCCCGACTTGCTCCAACTCCAATTTTCAATCCGCGATCCGCAATTTTCAAAGTCTCCGATCAGCGTGATACCCCGCTTCGATATCCATTCGATATCATCCTGCAGGATAACGATCACGCAATTTTCCCCGAGGAGGCGCCAAGTCTCGGTGAAACTCGCGTAAACTCGCAGACTTCCCCCGGCGCGAGTTCACGCAACTTCTCAACAATGGAGACTTGAAACTTTCCGCACGTCGCGACTTTTTGCTCTCCGCGGCTACGCGTCGTCCACCGATCGCAGCCCTCCAGAGCAACGCGTTGCTCCGTTGGTCGACCGGGGTTTACCGGGTGGCCGGCGCGAGTAACCTAGTCCGAGGCGGTACGTTACCATGCGTAGATGCGAGCCCCCGGGTCGCGTGATGCTGTACAAGTTGCATCCTCGAGTGCGCCTTAGCTTCCTCTCCTTGATGTGCGGCCGACTTCGGACGGCCGGGGCGCGAACGCGCAACCGTGCGCGCGGACGGCCTACCGGCTGGAACTTGGCGGTGGCGCGCGTGAAGTTGTCGCACTCGTCGGCGTCGTCCTCGTCGCAGTCGTCGCAGTCGTTGCGCTCGTCCTCGTCGTCGGCGATGATGGTGTCCTCGTCGTCGTCCTCGTCCTCCTTCTCGCGCTCGTCGCTCTCGCGGTCCATCAACAGCTCGGCGCACCGCGCCGCGGGGTCGCTCTCGAACTCGCGCAACCGGAAGACGTACACGCTGCTCTCCTTGCCCTTGTCGCCGGCGCGGAACAGCAGTATGCCGTGCTGCTCCACCACGTCCAGCTGCTTGATCTGCACCGACTCGTCGAAGATCAGCCTGTGCGAGAGGCCGTCTGCAAGCAGGCCCAACGTCTTCAGAATGCTGCGACTGGCGGAAAACCGTTCGATACGCGGCGACGGAGTTTTAATCGGCAGAGAATCGTTTCTATTACCGTGGTATTGGGTTGTTCGGAAGGTATTTTCGGTTTTTTTTTTTTTTTTCTTCAAACAGATGGTCGGCATTGGTTGTGCCTTTTTACAGCAGTTTACCTCACTTCGAGCCAGAAAGTCATTTTACATTTTTACAACGCGCGTTTCGAGCTTGATTTGGGAGAATGTTGTTTTGAAATCTGTCAAGTTGTTGTTGTTTGGCGTCGCATCAAACTTGGAAGACCAACGTCAGCATTCTCGTCACATTTTGCTTTTTTATTGCCGTAAAGGCAAGAATGCAGCAAGCAAGAAAAAAATTGTGTGCCGTGGAGAGGATGTGAACCAGAAGTGGTTTTCGAAATTTCAATCTGGGAATTTTGACCTCAGAGATGCACCACGTTCTGGAAGGTGGCCAGTTGAGGCTGATGAAGACCAAATAAAGGTATTGGTGGACGCAAATCGCCATTTAACGACACGAGAAATTGTTGAGAGATTGAATTTATCGAATTCTCGACCGGGCATGAGAATTTGAAACAACTATTGGTTTCGTTTCACAGCTCGATATTTGGGTTCCACACTTTTTCTCAAAGAAAGAGATTTGATTCGTCGCATTACCATCTGTGATTCGCTGCTGAAACGTGAGGAAAACGATCCATTTCTAAAGCTACTCATAACTGGAGTTGAAAGATGGAGATTGTGTACAACGATATTAAACGCAGCTCATGGAACAGATGTGATGAACTAGCTCAAAGCACATCGAAAGCTGACATCCATCAAAAGAAGGTGATGCTCTCTGTTTGGTGGGATTGGAAAGGAATGGTTTTCTTCGGAGCTGCTACGAAACAACCAAACGATCGATTCGAATTTGTATTGTCATCAATTGAACAAATTGAATGATTCCATCCAAGCAGCAAAGACCAGAATTGGCGAACAGGAAAGGTGTTGTGTTTCATCATGACAACGCCAGACCTCACACAAGTTTAATGACTCGCCAGAAGCTGCTAGCGCTTGAATGGGATTTGCTACCGCATCCACCTGATATTCACCTGACCATCTGACACCGTCCGATTATCTCTCATTTCGACCACTACAAAATTCCTTGGATGGTAAAGATTTCGATTCAAATGAAGGTGCCAAATATCACTTAATTCAGTCTCCTGCCAATAAAGACCAGGAGTTGTGCCAGCGTGGAGTCATGTTGTGACCTTAAAGATGGCAAGAGGTGTTGGAACAAAATGGTCTCGATACTTGACAGAATAAAATTTTCTTTCTATACAAAGTATTGTCTTTCATTTTCATGCAGAAAACCGAAATTACTTTCCGAGCAACCCGATACATTTGCAACTGCTGCAACTGCTACTCCGGTAGTAGAACACCAAGGAGGCGCAGTCGGGGAGGCGGGGGAGGGGGAAGTCGCTATAATTTTGACAGCAGCAACCACCTCTGTCCTTGTTCCCTCAGCGCGGGCTCCTCTATCGATCGCTAATCGCGACTTGTCATTTGCCGCGCGTTAGTTACTTCGCACTTCGCGCCGTAACGGCGGAGCGGCCCCCAATTACAGCGACGGCCGTGCCTGTCGCTGGGATTCCGCGCGGATTCTCGACTCCTCCGCGATTACCTTCGATGAGGAACGTGCCGCCCTCGGTGGCGAGGATCAGCCTATTCTCCAGCCAGACATCCCCGCAGACCACCTCGTGCGGGAAATCCGGGTAGATGCACCTCGGCTCCCACGGCCGGGGCTTCAACGGTCCCACCGTGGCGAGAGAAGTGGGTGCCAACCCGCGCATGATAGCTTCCAGCTTCAAGGCCTGCCCGACCCGCACCATCTCGACGGCGCGTGTCTCCTCTCGCCGTCGTCCCGGCGCCTCCACCACGTCCGAGAGCGCCCGGCGATTTAGCATGCTCTATCACGAAATTGCTGTATGAGCCGCGCCCATGTTGGATCTCTCAATTATACGATATCTTTGCCGACGAGTACTTTCCTGATGAAACGCTACCGCGCTTCTAGCTATCGTCCGCGGGTGTGCGAGTTTCGCGGACTATCATCTCGCGTGGCGAGATTTCGCTCGGCTGGGCTGATCGAAATTAATAGCGGATCGCGAAACGGGGTTGAGGAGAATCCACTTGCCCGAACCCGTCCGAGCCGGAAATTCCGCGAAATTTCCGCGTTGCCTCGACCAATTCTTGTCCTTTTTTATCATGATCATACAATGATCGCTTCCGTTATGCGTGCGACTTCAGTCGCACAGTCGCGATCACGTATCAATCTCACCCATCGATCAGTAATCCCGTGCATGGCGGCTGATTAATTCTGTTTACTCATTCGTCGACCACTGCAGCAAATTCAGATTTTAATCGATCAATGCCCAGCACACTGCGTCGACGCGTGAAACGTAAAACGACTCGGTTTGCCTATTTTACGCGCGTTTTACATATGCATACGTAGCGCCGCCGCTAAAAAATACCCAAGCGCGTACAACGACCGTGTTGAAAAACTTCTTTCTCTCCTCCCTCCAGCCCGCCTTTGATTTTCTTCACATTTCGTTTTTACGGAAACGTGTAATTACGCTCGCTGGACGGTCCATCGCGATGAACAAGCTATTTCGTCGTTGCCACTGAGTATTATGAATGAGGGGAGATTGATCGAGCACGCTTAGGGGGCGGCAGGGGGAGGCGAAGGCGGAAAGTACACGCGAGCAAATGGAAGGCCTGAAGGTCGCAAAGTAGCTTACGTTGCTCTTGCTCTCCTGCGAGTGCTCCTGGTACATATCTCGCAACAGGGCGTCGAGGGTCCTCTCCCGCTTCCTGGAGAACGTCGGGGTGTCGAAGGTAGCCTTCTCGCCATTGATCAGTTTAACGAGGAGAAACTCGCGCAGATTATACGGGTCCTCGAAAATTGGCGGGCAGGGTAGACTCGGCCCGAACAGGGGTACGGTCTCGTCGCAATAAATAGCAACCCGCCATCCCTTGCCGTCCGGCTCGGTCGTTACCACGGCGAACACGTCTAAGCAGTGGAAGATGGATCGACTGGTTCAACTGGCGATACACGGGGGCAAACGTTCGGCTGAATTCTCCGCTGAGATATGAACGATCCAGAAGGAAGTTCCCCTCAGGTAAAGTTTACCAGAAATCTTGACGACTCGGACTGATAACTGGAACCGGGCTTCCGGTTGATCGTTGATATTTCACCAGAAAATACATTCGTTCGACCAAACATCTTTCTCCCTGTGCTCTCTCCCTCTCTCTGTCTCTCTCCCTCTCTCTCTCTCTCTCTCCCTCTCTCTCTCTCTCTGTCTCTCTGTCTCTCGTCGAATTTCGCATCTCGTCCGATCAATTCTCGTCTCGATTTTAGAAGACGATTTTAGAACTGATATCAGATGGCTGTTAGATCGGTGCAATTATTTTTTAAACTTCCTCGAAGCTCAATTCGTCTCGCTAAATAATACTTTAGCCTCATTACCGAATGAAAGTATCGGAAATCAATTGTCGGGTGAGTGTTTGGTAGGGGTTTTCTAAAGGTTCGATCCGGCTTTACGGCGGCACTTTCAAATCTATAGACAGGGTTGGGAAAGTTGCTTTGTAAAAGAATCTAGTTACAGTTATAGTTTTTTTTCCCTGAAAAAGTAACTAGTTAAAGTTACAAGTTATTGACTTTCGAAAATAACATGTTACAGTTATAGTTATTTAGAGAGTAACGAGTCGTTGCTTTTTAGTTACTTTTTTACAATAATTGCCATTATTTTAAATAAATTTCGTAATTGTGTAAATTCCTTCAATTTTATATAGAAGTACTTTGTTGATTATTATATTTCTTATAATGTATAATTTTTACTAATTACGTTCATTAATTTAAATAAGCAATTCATATTTATTCTTTAAGACTATTAATAACACTTATAAGAGAGTGAATGAATTTGATAAGGCTGATAAATACTGAAAATAATCTCAACATTAAAAATTAGATTTTTTCACTAAAAAATATATTGATATTTTATAAATAAAGATTTATACTCATATATTTTATTAATTTTAAATTTGCAATTGAAATTTTACTTGCATGAATAATTTTTTTGCCAGCGCAAATGTTGCAAGGAAATGCTCAGTCGTTTTCGTTTCCAAATTTTTGCTGTAACTCGAATATTTCTGCATATGCTAACCATGGCATTGTACAATCCTTCTTCAAAGATTGAGATATTTTATCCATTGCTTGAATTTTTTATATAACTGTTTTTATATAACTAATCACGCACTTCACGCTGAACGCTGAAGTTATGTTAACAAACAAGGATTGGCGACGGAAATGTCCAATTTTTTTGAAAGAAATATAGATTGTGTTCGGAGAAGCGCTATCGCGTCCTTGTATCGCGCATTTTATTCATGTTTTACATCTAATGAATGATAAAGATAGATGACGCAACGGCTCGTTTTTTTCCAAATGCAGCCAGAATAATTGCATACTTATTGGATATCAAGCATCGCACCTTATCGTGCTAGTCTGCCAGAAATTTAACGCCTACTGGTAACTATAGTTACCAGAAACGCATTTAAGAATCCATCCAACTTAGTCAAAAAAGAAGATATTTCCGTTTTCTACCACTGTAAAGGTGAATTCTTCTTCCAAAAAATATAGATGTAGATATAGATTGTATGTAGATTCGGTTTAGTCTTTAGTTTTTAGCTCAGTTTTAATGATTTGTCAAATTCAAAGTTTTAATGATTTGTCAAATTCCAGATAGGCATAGTTAGCATTGTTACTGACATCTAGAAGTGCGCTATAAATGAATAGATTGGTACCTGTTGTAATTTTATACATTTGGAAGCTTTCTCAGATGCAAAATGTGAGATTAAAAGAATACAGAAATTCAAAATGGCGAATCCAATATGGTGGACACGAAAATCAAGAAATCAAGCTATTTTCGTGAAACCTGTTGACCTACAGCGCTTTTTATGCGGCGAAAAATGAAGGGACGATTAACTATCTAAATGGTCATCTATAAGATATTCTTCTGAAATAGTAAGCTTGACGCTCTGAATGATAAACTTCACTCACAAATATAGTAAAGTTTCAGCTGAAAAATGTCAAGCTGACTATCAGAGTTATGTCGTATAGATTACCCTTCATTTTTCTCTGTGTAAGTTACTCATTTCGTATATGCTTTTAGGATCCAAGTCATATTTACCAATGAACAAAAAACGAACGATAAAGAAAAACCAACATAAAATTCTGATACTTTTTTTGGTCATCACTACTTATAGTCTCAGTTCAAAAAAACTCAAATTTTATTCTTAAAACACTTAAATGATAAAAAAGTCGGGCGTTAAAGGGTTAAGTTCGAAATATACAAAGCAACTATTGAAGTAACTGTTAAATCAGTTACTAGTTATCAAACAAATGTAACCAAGTTAAGTTACAGCTATAGACGGAAAGAAACGGAACGAAGTTAAGTCATACTTATAAAAAGAAAAAGAAAAAAATAATTGAAATTGTAATTTCGTTACGCAAGTAACGAGTTACTTCCCGAACCTGCCTGTAGATACACAACGTACCGCTGCAAAGGTCACGCTTTCCGACAATTACTCGATGGGATGAAAAAGATAAGACGTCCTGATAAATTTTTCCGTCACGAGGCCCGTCGATACTTTCGCGCTCGCCGGACGAGCGTGTGTCGGGAGGGAGGGATTTTCGGCAACGGTACAAATCTCACTCGAAGGTCGGCCGCGTGAAAATTACGCTATCGATCGCATTCGGACGCGCGTAAATAGAGACAGGTCAGGTGCGTGCGAGATAACGCATTAATTAATCACGGGGCTCACAGTGGGACGATTCGCAGGTGTAGGCGGAGGAAGGGGATAAAATAAAAAAAAAAGAAAGGACGCCAGAGAAATGAGGATCGCTGCGCTGTGTGGTATTTCAGCGTCGACTGTGCGGCTCGTGTGATCTTTATGCAAACAACAATGGACAAGGTTCGCGACCTTATCCCACGTTCGACGATCGTATGACATATATCGCCGCGTCGCGGCGATCCGGTCTCACGGTGAGGAATATCAATGGCTGACTCACGGGTAAACTGGCTCCTTATGCAGTTCGGGTTGAACGTGTCCACCGCCGCCGGGTCGTCCGTGTAGATGATGTTGACGATGTCGTTGCCGATGTGCCTCTTCCTCTCCAGCTGCTGCGGGTTGTCCTTCGAGTACGGCAGTATCGTGCTAACGTGGTACATGACTTCGTGGCCCGCGTAAACCGTGTAGTAGCTCTCCTTGCCCGTCATGTCTCCTGAAAAATGGCAAAACGCGCGAGCGAGCGCGTGAGCGCGGACGCTTCCTCAGGCTCGTCGTCGAGGATGCCTGAAATCCCGCCTGAGAAGTCCCGCGCTCCTCGCGAGAGACCGGAAACTGCGGTATGTTCTCGCGAAATTTCACGCCTGCGAAAAAGAGCGAGAGCTCCAGCGGGGCCTCGCTTTTTTTAGGTGAACAATTAGCAGACCGAGTAATTAGTGAAGATAAATGAACGAATAGATGATGTAACAGCAACATACAGGTCAGTATGACGGGTTGTTTGCTCCTATTCGGATGATAATGCAGAGGTTGCCGAAAAAGTTGACTCGTTGACTTTGTTGATAACGATATTTGCAGTGTTCCCAGTTATGACGAATGCAACTAACTTTGCGCCATGTTCGTGATGACAGTTTATCGGCCGTTTACCGACAGGAGTCGGGGCTCTGATTGAATTAAAAAAGATGTTTAAAAAATGAAACTGAGAAACAAATATTACGGAATAGAGCGGAATAAATAAGAGTAATATTTAAAGAGATAAATGATACAATATATTTCCTGGTTTTGCATAATTTCTTAATTGTTTCCTCACGTTAGAATAGTTCGATAGAAATTGGAGATTAGAAAGAACGACACAGAAATATTTAAAAGTCTTATATACTGCATTTCAACCAGGTTTCTAATCGCTAAAATCGCTTCTGCAAAAGTGTGAATAGACTACAAACGCAGTGTACATATTGGTTGCAATTTAATCGACCGCGAGTATCAAGCTGCAAAAAATTTCAAAAAACAGGCCCTATCTTCGATAAGAGATGCCAAGATACAAGACTACAGTGTACCGAAAATATGTCGCTTTTTGTCACAACTGGAAACTGTTGCATTTCATTCAGAATTGGGAACACTGCAAATATCATTATCAATAGTCGACGAGTGACTTTTTCAGCAACCTCTGCATTATCATCCGAATAGGGGCAAGCAACCCGTCATACTGACCTGTATGTTGCTGTTGAGCAAAGTTCACCGCGTTGAAGAACCAGGACTCTTAGGGACTCTTCAGTTTCGCGTCAAATTCTCACTCGAGCATTTCTCTTCCCGGATGACCGTACTTGAAGACATTGTCTCGTCAACAACAGACAACAGACGCGAAACTTGGACGAATACGGATCCGCGTATCAGCTGATCGAGCGAGGAGAATCGCTGCAACAGTCGCGAATTGGGACACCTCCGCTAATTGAGAGCTTCAGCCAGTGCGCACTTGTATCGTTATCTTCTCCCATTGTTCGCAGCGTACAGCTTGCGTTCGCGCTTTCTGCAGCGTCGTCATAGTCGTACGTCGAAGTTCACGAGAAAAACTTCCCAAGGCCCACGAATATTCCGGCGAAGAAGAAGAAGAAGAAGATCTCGCGAGAGGATCCGCCGAGAGACGGCTAATTCTCCAACAGCTCTCGTCAAACGAGTCCCGCCCCTCCCTCCCTCCCTCCCTCCGGCGTCGCTCCTCGCCCGATTGCGGCCCTCAAGTTTGCGTCGCCGATATCCATATTATTAACGTACCCTTCACGTCCAGGCCACCCCTGTACTTGTCCCAGCCTTTCAGCCGTATCCTCTCGCCCAGGATCTCCAGAAAGCTCTCGAAGCCAAGGCTGCCCCTTTCTGCGAGAGCAACGAGGAGCCAGCTCAGTGATCGATAGCGTTATCCGTTAGCGTTTAATTCGCCGCTCCCGCCCCTCCCGAATGACCCCGTCGTCCCCCCTCGCGAGTTCGTCTTACCGTTTGACAGCATCTCGTCGTCGGTGGTTTGGCCCTCCTTCGCGTAGATGACGCCGAACTTGAAGTTCACCGAGCCCTCTTGCTCCTCGAGCAGTAGCAGGTCCTGCGGAAGGATCGTCGGGTTAGTCCACACCGGCGCGACGTGATTCTCGCGAAATCGCGGAAACCGGCCGGCCGGGGTTTGCTCGGGGACTCACCTTCTGCAGCTCGGGCGAGAAAACTTCGCGCGGCGCCTTGTCGAGTTTCTCGAGACCGAAGAAGTTGCTGAAAAGCGTAAACGGCGGATCTCGCGTTATTCAATCAGCGTCCCGCCCCCGACTCGGCTCGCCTAGCCTCGCCGAGGGGAAGGCAAGGGGTGAGTGGGCGACTTTACTGTGTGTGACCTTATGTGACCTTACCTGAGGATCTGCCTGATGGTCATGGTCTTGTTCGCCGAGTACGGCAGCGATATCTTCTGCGCGCCCTGCGTGAGAAGGGAAATGAGCAATTTCTCGATTCAGACCGCGATTCAGATTCGCGGTCCCTTTGCGCCCCCGCGAGGCGTAACGCGCTATCGGGTATCATGATGGGAGAACGGACGAGACCGCGGCGTGAAATCGAAGCCTTCTGCATCCGCGGACACAAAACAAATTGGATATTATGAGAGCGATACGGAGGAAGGTATCGGTTTATCTTGGCCAGACCGCTGCCTCGGGCAGGATCGATAGCTGTACGACTTCCGCGTGAGGAAAAAAGCGGCAGATAAGCCACCGCTTTGTATCCAAGTCGAAATTCTGCTCCCGCGGCTGGCCGTCCGTCGAGTACACGAGTGGCGGCGCCAATGGGAAATCTCGAGAACGTATTATACAAGGTGTCTCCGGCGAATCGCGCACGAACGTTCGTGCGAACGACAGGACAGGATCGGCTATGGTGCCGCGAACAACCCGAGCAAAATATTGTTCGGCCATCTTCATGAAGCATAAGGCCGCGATAAAGCTGAAAGTAGGATGCCTTAAGAAGAGATGCCTCATTATTACCACATCAGGCCCCGAGATGGATCTTTCAGGGATATCTTGGATTTTACGAAATGAGGATTTGATAAGGAAAAGCTGAGAAGGATCGTAGAAGGATTTCTTAAGGATGTTTTAGATTTAATAAATAAGGTTTCGATAGAGAAAGCTGAGAAGGGCCTTAGAAGGATTATCATGGAAGGATTTTTTAAGCTTTAGATTTAATAAACAAATGAATAAGGTTTTGACACGCACACAAGGAAAATTGAGAAGAGCTTTAGAAGGATTATTTTAAGGATGCCTTGGATTTAATAAATAAGGTTTTGACAAGGGAAATTGAGAAGAACTTTAGGATTTTTTAAGGATGCCTTAAATTTAATAAATAAGGCTTTGATAGGAAAAGCTGAGAAGGGCCTTGGAAGGATTTTTTAGAGATGTCTTAGATTTTACGAAATAACGCTTTAACATGGAAAACTGATGTGGGCCTTAGAAGGTTCTTTTGAGAGAGAGAGAGAGAGAGAGAGAGAGAGAGAGAGAGAGAGAGAGAGAGAGAGAGAGAGAGGATGCTTTAGATATACAAAATCAAGTTTTGTTATAGAAAATTAACAAGATCTGAAGCGTGTAATAAAATTGTTATAGTTTAGTATTGTTTTAGTAGGTACGTTCTCTCTATCTGGTTCTTTTAAAGATTTTTTAATTATACCACAATTAAAAACAAATTTTATTAGTTTTATTAATTGCCATATTCATTAATCCCATCCATGGATTTTTCTAGTATTATCCTCGTTTTGAAATGCAGCGAACTTTAATAAAACAGAATTTTTACGCGTAAAGAATGTTATATTTTTAAAATAAAAAATTCTTGTTGTATACTAACAAAGTTATGAAGAAATTACAGTCTAAATTTCTTGGAATAAAAAGAACGAATATCTTTACTCAAGCAATAATAAAAATATTTCCTCATAAGGTCCTCATAATATTGGCTTATAAGGCTCATAAGATCCGTTAAGCCATTTGTTACATCTTGCAGGGCCCTCGTAGGTCCCTTTCTGTCCCTACTGGGGCCCGATTGATGTTAGAGAAAAAAATAATTAGGCCCTCGCTAGAGCCCCATTCATTTTTCTACTCGGGAAGCGCGGGAAATTTGGAGTCATCGACGAGAGGAAGGAAGAGGTCACGCTCGAGGAAGGACTCGGCTTAAAAACGGTTACAACAATGCTGCGAGTCCTCGAGCGGAGGCGGAGCAGAGGCGTCGACGATTTGAAAATCGAAGCATGTCCTTAAGAGTGTGTTCACGGCGTCAATTTCGTGGCCCTCGACTGCCGAGGATCTGCCAGGTTAAACGTGGAAGTAAAGTTTCGACTCGAGACGGAAACTCGACTGGCAGCTCCGACGTCCTCCGTTCGCTCTTCACCTTCCTCCGCGATCTCGCCCTCATCCCTTTATCCTTTTCCCGAGCGCGCAATGTCACGACTTTATCCCGACAGGCGCGGGGAACGCGCTGGCCTGTCGAATAACACGGCGCCTACTCACGGTCCTTCTCCACAGGATCACTCGGTAATGCGGCACGCATTGATCACCGACCTCGCTCGTGACTACCGAGAGGAAGACGGGGTTCCTCTCCTGGTCGGAGGCGATGTAATTCTGATGCACTGCGCACAGATAATCAGCAATCAGCGTCCGCATGCTAGCGTTCGATCATCACGTTCTCACTCGCGAGTTGCAATTAAAATAATTAAATGACCAAGCGCGGGCGTTTCCGCCAGGTGAAATTGAACTCGCGCGTCGACACGTTAATTGCCGAGAGAGAGAGAGAGAGAGAGAGAGAGAGAGAGAGAGAGAGAGAGAGAGAGAGAGTGGGGTAGGGAGGGACGTGATTTTATTTCCAATCGATAGCATTTTTCTGGGAAAACGCATTTTGCGCATTTTCGATATTCAAGCTGATTTAATTTTATATTTAGCGTAATTGTGAAAACATATCTCAGTGCTCGGGGGTTAGGGACGTTGCTTCGTGCATAAATCATTCCCGTTGAACGGCGCGGCGATTAGTCCGGTCGAGTGAGCGAGGAGCTCAAGTCGATCTGCATAAATCGTATAATCGGATTTTTCATCTTACTTCCGCGATGTTGCACAATTACACGAGGGACGAGGGGCAGGGGAAGGAAATCCGATTCGAGGAACTGAGGAGGGACGACCGACCGGGCGGAGAAGCGCTTCGGCTGCGGCCCGGAACGAACGCGTTGTTCAACTTACGCTTGCCCAGGAAGTATTTAAAGTACCAGCGGGTCTGGTACTCCGGGTTCTCCAATATCGGTGTACTCGGCGAGCCGAACATCTGTTGACGTAAAATTCGTTCGTCACTCGTCGCGAAGGCAAGAGAAAGGAAGGAAGAAAGAAAGAATGATAGGAGAAAAGAAAGAGAGGGAGAGAGAGCCCGAGCAAAAAGTTATTAGGGCCATCCTCATGAAGCATAAAGCTAAAGTGTAGGATGCCCTACACTGAGAAAAAGTTGTATTAAAATTAAACAAATATTTGTTCGGATACGACTATGAATACATTTATTCAAATATAAGCGACTAATTTCTAAAATGAAATACAGAGGTTCTCTGAATGTAAACTCTTTTCTTGAATTTTACAAAATAATTGCTTAATTTAAGTAAATGTATTCACAGTCGTATTCGAACAAATATTTGTTTAATTTTAATATAATTTTTTCTCAGTGTAGAAAGGGATGTCTCATTATTATCACATCAGGCCCCGAGATGGATCTTTTAGGGATATCTTAGATTTTACGAAATAAAGCTTTGATGAGGAATACTGATGAGGGCCTTGGAAGGATTTTTAGGGATGCCTTAGATATACAAAATCGAATTTTGTTATAGAAAATTAGTAAGATCTGAAACGTGTAATAAACTTGTCATAGTTTAGTATTGTTTTAGTAGGTAGGCTAAGCTCTATCTGGTCCTTTTAAAGGTTTTTAATTATACCGCAATTGAAAACAAATTTTATTAGTTTTATCACAGTTGCCATATTCATTAGTCTCTTTCAAGGATTTTTCCAGTATTACCTTCGTTTTGAAATGCAGTAAACTTTAGTAAAAACAGTAGCAGAACTTTTATGTGTAAAGAATGCTACATTTTATATTGTAAAGTATGCTATATTTTCAAAATAAAAAATTCTTGTTGTATACCAACAAGGTTATAAAGAAATAAAGAAATTACAGTGTTAAATTTCTTGGAATGAAGAGAACGAATATTTTTACTCAAGCAGCAATAAAAATATTGCCCTCATAATATTGCCTTATAAGGACCCGTTAAACCATTTGTTACACATCTTGCAGGACCCTTATCTTTCTATCCTTACTAGGGTAATCCAACTAATTAGGAAAAAAATAATCAGGCCTTTTCCAGAGTCCTACTAACTCTTCTACTCGGTCGATGGCGAAAGGAAACCCCGAAGACACGTGTTCGATCGTCACGCTTCCTCTTACCTCCTCTTTTTCGCCGAGCGAGTCGCCGTTCTCCACGCGAAATCGCCTGCCATTGTCGACGCCGTCCTGCTCGATCTGCGGCAGCTGCAAGCACATTTTCGAGAGCCGCGATTAACGAACTCTCTCGAGTCGGCGAGTCGTCGTCCCAAGGACTCGAGACGCGCCCGAGAACGGAAGCGGAGAGCCTAACTCGCCCTCAAGTCCCTCCCGAATCACGATCAGCGACTTCGAGAATTCGTTCTTTCTCTCGAGGGGAGCACTCATGTCGCCCGATTTTTCGACAGAATCTTTCTCGCGAATCCTTAAACATTCAAACGACTTTGCTGCCCCCCCCTCCCCCAACCCCCTCCCTCCAACACCTCCGTCTCGACAAAACAGGACATCCCCGATTCCAGACGACGCGAAGAAGAGTCTAACGCGTCTTTTCCAAAACCGAAAATCAAGTTGAACGTCTCCGCGATCTCCGACCAAACGCCCGCGAGGGAGGGAGGGGGAGAGGCACGTCCGATCGAAGCGATCCGAAAAACACGCTGTCTCTCTCGGCCGCCTCTATCGTCAAGTATCGACCGCCGGCGAATGTATTGCAACGCACCCATGGCGCGGGCGTGAAAATCAAGCAAGAACTACACGGGTGCAGTGCCGCGACGTGCTATGATAAGCAAATCAATAGATAAACAGTAAGGCGGAGGAAAACAATATAATCGGCTTACACACCGGATGCGCCGCGTATGGGATTATCGCCTCTGTCGGAGCTCTCGTTCCGCATTTTATCGCGGTGATTAACATTTATCGTGCGCGAGCATGGCCGCGCATATGTCCCGAGGCGAGTGCGTCGCGTTTTTTGCCCGCTTTTTCCTTACCATTTCCACGCTGCCGTAGCATCGTCTCGACAGGACCCCTCGCCTCGATATCGCGTCCGCGGTGGATCTGAAACAGCGATTTTCCGCGTTTTAGAGCCGTCAGCCGTGAGCCGCGATGCGAAAGAGGGCCGCGATTCCGCGATTTTCACCGGGATTCCCGACGTGCGGAACGCTCCGGCGCACAATGGGAGCCGGATGACATTTTTTGGCTCAAAATTCTCTAGAGACCTGAATTTCCAGCCGATCATCGACACCAATGGATCAGGTTGATCCTGAAGAAATTCCAAAGAGATTCCTGTCTAGCGGAAATTTTGAAAAAAATTATCGGTTTCAGGGTTCATGGGTTTAGGGTTTGTCTGAGAAGTTTATCGTTTAGAGTACAGTGTCTTGGGTTCGAGCTTATGGATACTAAATGCGAGACCCCAGAACTTATAATCACCTTTTAGAAAACTCAGAATTTCAAAGCTCATCATTTCAGCCCACATTAAGAAAGAATTAAGCCATATGGACCCATAATAAGTTGAAACATGGAGAACCCGAGATTTGGCATTCAGCATTTCTAGGCTCGAACTTAAACACTTTTACAGCTGAATATTCAACGTCGAGTATTATTAGGTTCTCGAGCTATGGCTAGATTGGGTTCTTGGACTATTTGGGGCTCTTAATATATACGGCTTCACGCATCCATGAGCTAAAAAGTTCTCGGATTGATAGATTCCTAGGTTGATGGGCTTAAGACTCAAGATCCCTCGGTTTTGTGCTTAACGGGTCTATATTTGATGCTTTTGTATTTTGGGCATATGAGTTTTGGATTAATGGGGGGGGTTTCTGCTTCAAGATCGATAAATCTTGAGGTGTCTGTTGATTGGTTTCATAGTTTCAATCCGCTGAATACGCTATTAGATAGAAATGAGTATCGAATAATGGGTATTTCGCAAGTTTCTCGCGTTTAACGATAATTTTTCCCCTTTTGGGGCTAGTGATTCGAGAAAAAAGATTTTTTTTAAATTTTGGCAAGACATATCTCTTGGGAATTTATTCAGGATCAACCTCATCCGTTGGTGTCGATGATCGGTTGGGAATTCAGGTCTACAGAGAATTTTGAATCAAAGAATGTTATCTGGCCGCATTGTGCGGCGATGCGTTCGCCGCTGCACCGATTTTCATTATTTTCGCAACTCTCAGCTCCAAACTATCAAAGATACGAAGGCGAATGTGCGGAAACACGGGGATAATAGAAGCCGAATTGCTCTAATTCGGAATTTCCACGCGGGGCAAATGTTGCGGCAGATATCGCGAGCAGATTCCTGCTCGTCGGGAAATGTCTCGCACGTTTGACCTTTTATCGCGCAATACTGCAATTGTTTGAATATTTCGCCTCGTCTCTCGTTGTTTGTTGTTGCTTCTACAGCGATTAATGCCAGCGGTATGCTCTCGATTTTTCCGCGCGCATGACAATCAGTTTAAAGAAGAAATTGAAATGCCAATTGGCTCTCGTCGTTGTAAAATAAATGCAATTAACGGTACGCGCATTCGCCGCGCGTTTATCAATTTAACGTTATTCGCAATGTACAATTGGTTACGTTTCGCAGATAAATTAAGGCTCCTGGATGCTCGCGACCCGCGGCCATCACGACCTCGTGTGACCTCGTGTGACGTCAGCGGCGAGAAAAAGCGCGCTGCAAATTCCTGCGTTAAAATGCGTTAAAACGAAGAAATATGTCCAAAGCATGACATTTGCAGTAAATTAAGCACACTCCTCGGATATCCCGGACGTTTTTCCCTCGTTCTGACAATCAATAAATTACCGTGAGATTAACGTGACGTGCAACTCACCGTTTCGAGCCATCTCTCCCCCTATGCCTCCGTGGCGCGAGTTTTACGCGACGCTAACTTATCGCTCGTCGGAGCAAAAACAAAGTGCTCGGAGTATTTCACAGATGTGCTTAGTCGACGAGCGAGCGTCACTTTCCGACTATACTTTTTCATCCCGACGTACGTACCTCGCGGGAATGTTCAGCGTTGCACTTTCTCGCATCCGCTGTCATAAATCAAGATGGCCGCGGCAAAAGTAGGCAAGAGCCTGAATGACAATATCGCGCTGCGTCGATCGCCGGCGACGTGTTAGATAAACAAACAGCCATTCGCGCTCTCGTCAACGTCGCGTCCATCAACGCGCTCGATTCCGCCGACGCTTTTTTTCCTTTTTCACAGGGATAATTCACGTTTCTTACGGAATCGTTCACGCTAGGAGCTTCCAGCCTGCAGCACGCGCCATTTGCCGTTTGAAGGCGCGAACCCGAGCAAAAATTGTTCGGACCTCATGCTCATGAAGCATGAGGCTCCGATAAGGCTGAAAGTAGGATGCCCTGAAGAGGGATGCCTCATTATTTTCACATCAGAGATGGATCTTTCAGGGATATCTTAGATTTTACGAAATAAGCCTTTGATAGGGAAAGCTGAAGAGGGCCTTAAAAATATTTTTTAGGGATGTCTTAGATTTTACGAAATGACGTTTTAACATGGGAAACTGATGTGGGCCTTAGAAGGATCTTTTAAGGATGCTTTAGATGTACAAAATCAAGTTTTGTTGTAGAAAATTAATAAGATCGAAAGCGCGTAATAAAATTGTCATAGTATTGTTTTCGTTGGCACGCTCTATCCTGCTTCTTTTAAAGATTTTTTAATTATACCGCAATTAGAAATAAATTTTATTATTAGTTTTATCAGTTGCCATATTCATTAGTCTTTTCCAAGAATTTTTCTGGTTTCTGCCTTCTGGTTTTGAGATGCAGCAAACTTTAATAAAAACAGTAACAGGATTTTTATGTGTAAAGAATGCTGCTATTTTATTGCACACTATCCTATATTTTTAAAATAAAAAATTCTTGTTGTATATTAACAATGTTATAAAGAAATAAAGAAATAAAGAAATAAAGAAATTACTAAATTTCTTGGAACGAAAAGGACGAATACTTTTCAATCAAGCAATAATAAAAATATTGCCTTACAAGGTCCTCATAACATTGCTTTATAAGGACCCATTAAACCATTTGTTACACATCTTGTCTTTCTATCCCTACCAGGGCCCGATTAATGTTAGGGAGAAATAATCAGACCCTTACCAGAGAGACCCTATCAATTTTTCTACTCGGGAAAACGTTGCGCGGTGGATCCGAAAAAGTCGCCGGGAAGCATCCGCCGCGCGGCTCGCCATTGATTTCCACCTGGTACGCGCCACGGGTATCCTCCTCTCCTTTTGTTTTCGCCAATTTCGAGCCCACTGCGTCCTCGAGAGGCCGACAGCTTTCGAATGAGCGACGATATTTTTCTCGTCGATCGTGCTTCGCTCTTCGCGGAAATTGACGAAACATTGCTGCCGTTCGCGGCTCGATAAGACAGGAGGTTTGATTTTACTTTTCTGACTCTCTCTCTCTCTCTCTCTCTCTCTCTCTCTCTCTCTCTCCCTCGGTATCCGCGTAGCCTGCGACTGAATCGCCGAGATATCCGATAAAATGTGTCATCGGAGCTCTCGGAGTGGCAGCTAGATAATAGTAGTCAGGATTTTCGACATCCTCCGCGACGCGGGAATATCAGCGAATCGCGGAACGCCGGAATCGGCGGGATAATTATTATTGACCCACTGAACGTACACATACTCGGCGATCAAACACGAGACATTCGCCGGCGAGCGAGCGAGCGAGCGAACCGGCCCACCCTCGTAGGGTGAACGAAGCGTAGCGCGACGGCACCGCTCGCCGCGGCCGGTCCGCGTCGGCTCAACCCCTCTCGTGTCTCATTTTTCACGACGTGAATATCTGGGTTAACGAGAAGCTACGGGAAGGTCGAATTGGCCGGGCGGGCGGCAAGCCGAGGTGAGGTCGTTACACGAGAGGAGGCGCTGGGAGGAGCGCTCGTTCTCGTCGTTGAAGATTCGACGCTCGCGTCGCGTCGCGATCGCTTCTCCGACGTCTCGTGTCGTCGTGAGTCGGCTGCGTTCGCGCTGCGGAGCTACGGGGAAATATCAATTATCAAGCGATAACGAGTCCGCGAGCAGCGGATGTCGATCATGCAGCGGGAGCCGCTCGCACACGTCTCTCTCTCTCTCTCTGTCTCTCTCTCTCTCTCTCTCTCTCTCTCTCTCTCTCTCTCACTCTCTGTCAATCGACGTGCGGCGAGAACGGCGAGAAAAATTTGCGGCTCCGCCGCGAATGTGCGCAGCTGGCAGCTCGCTGCGGCATATGCCGCTCGGTAATCCCGAGAAGCGTTTAATATTTGCGACTATAAGCGACTATAATTGCACACCGACATAATTACAGCCTGGCAAACAGTTTTCGCTACGTGCGCCACTTCGAAGATAGCGATAACAGTAACAGCGTGTCGCTGCTACAATACGCGGTAGTATTGCTACTACCGCGTATTGTTATCGTTATCTCTCGTGGTACGAGTCGTGTCTGTTGTTTACAGAGTGTTATTATTTTTTTTTTTTTTTATTGAAAATTTGTCATTTTCTTCTTGGCGAAAACATGTCGAGACAATCGACGCTCTGCCGAGATGCAAAACTTGGGAAAGACGAGGCTTTCCGCGAGCCGCGGACGATTAAATGAACGAGAACATTAGTTTTGTTCGATGAATTTTCAATGGATCTTGCTTGAGCAGAATTTTAACTCGAGGCACAGCTTCGAAGACGTCATCATGTCGAACATTGAAAACTTGTTATAAATAATGACTTTCCTTGAGAAAGGAGCGTCAAAAATTCTCGCGAGGAAAATTGCGTCGTGCGCAAGTAACGAGCGTGAGTTACGGGACACTTTGTATATGTTTCTGCCATCTGCTGTCTATTCTTTTCGTCGCTCTAATTCCCGTTAGGACAGCAAAGAGAATACGAAAAGAGATGTCGAGGACTTTGACGGGGCAAGCAAGCGGGAAGAGCAAAACGGCCAAAAAGAGTTGTCGCTGGATGTTGGAGACGATAATTAATTCTCGTGATTTATTCCTAGCGGAAGGATAAATCTTTCTCCGACTGTGCAACGCGCGTGCCGGATTTATTCCTCAGACGTCCAACGC